TTTTCATCTGTCGTGTGTAAATAATTATAATCTCCTGATGCCAGACCAGCTTAAAACTGTGTGTTGTACATGTGATTTCAATTTTATTCTTCTTATTTCTCGTGTTCCATTTCGGGTGTCGTGCTATTTTGTCCGAATAGAAGTGGCGAATACCTATGGTTGTCGCTGTAGATTTCATTTCCTTTTCGTCATTGTGTTACTATTTGTGGCTGTTTAAAACTTTTTTTGGTAGCATAAGAGTTGCGCGCATTTGAGGTGTGAAATAAAATTGAAATGCACAAATAGCACCACCAGGGCAAAACTTCTCAAATGTGAGCATTATCGCTTTGTTAATGCCATCCATAGGCAACATACAAAATAGCACATTGTACAAAAGCGACAAGAAGAAAAAATGACGACTCATTTTTCTACTTTACACCGTCGTCATCCGAACTAACATGAAAAATAGAAATGAAAAGAATAGAAAAAAACGTTGAATTTTAGCACAGCGTTAACGCTTTTCTCATTTCATCTTTCAAATTGTGCATTGTTTTCTGCACTTTTTTCCTTCCATGCTATTTTTTCATTTGCAGCACCAAAGACGACAAAAAAATTGAATGTTTTTTGTTTGCTTGTTTGTAAGTTAAGTTTTTGTTTGTTTGTTTTCGATTGAAAATTTGTCGCAAAAAAAAATTATTTTTACCTTTTTCTCTGAATTCGGTTCATTTTACAGGATCAAGTTATTGATTCATTGTTCTGTTTTTATTGTGATGTATGTACCCGAAGATTGAACGTTTTGTACGTGCAAAGAGTGTTATTAAGAGGATTTATTTACCTCAATTTTCGTTTCAATCGGGTGTCGACTAAATGGTGTGTCAGCTGCATTTGTATATACACCAAGTTCATATTGTTCAAATATTTGGCATCTCAAATTACATCTCCCTCGCATCGTTTTAAACACGATGACTTTCATGGAATTTTCTTTCTTTTTGATCGAATCAATATTCCAACGACTCTCTTTCTCTTAATGGCAAGAGACTTTCTTAATGGAAGTAGATGTATCTTGTCTTGAATTGTAGTTGCCTATCTACCCTTTGTGATCAATGAAGAAATGCTGTCGGTTCCTCATTTCCTCACTTGCTCCGATGAAAAACAAAGTAAACGAAAGGTTAATTTGGGTTTGGTGAAATTGCATTGCCGAAAAGTCCCCTTTCCGACAGAAGTCGTCAACAAAACAAATGACAATAAAAACGAAATGAATGTATTTAAATGGTGAATTAAATCCCAAAATACTGACTATATTGTTGGGATTTTGTTCACGTACTTCTTCACATTCACATTTAAAATAAAACATTGAAGTCGAATTGCACAAAAAAGCCGATGCAGTGATAAAACTTTCAAAAATGGAAAATTGCATGTGATTGCTTCGACAAGGGGAGCGTAGTAAAGTTGCCTACGAATTAGAAGTGAATTTAAAATTGCCGTTTCACTTGTGAATACCGTGAATGTATTCATTTCTATCGTACCGTATCGCGAACATCCAATGTTTCTATTCATGAAATAAATAGTTTTTTTTCATGGCATTTTATCTCATAATCCCCCAACATTGAGGAAGATAAAACGTTGGATAAATGCGTCTTTGTCTAGAGATTACATGCTAACTTGATGTTTTAGGTGATTTTGTGATGCGCTCCAAGACCTCGTTCCGTATTTTGATGACGGAACTAACACAAATTCGAATTCACTTCATAGTATTGCATTGGGCTAAAGAATTGAGCATTGAAGAAATGAATACCCATCTTATTTTCCGTTCGGACGCGTCATTTATCTCAAAGAACCATGAATAACGAAGAAAAATCGCACAAAACATTCTTCGAAAAATTCGTCGAAACAACAAAAAAACATTGAGGCTTTCACGCTGGTCACGAACAATATTCAATGATATCTATCCGGGCTTGAACAAATTCGCTAAAAGAAGAAATGTCCTTACCCAACGTTCGTAATATATTTTGGCTGATTGAGATAATGTTGTTTATATATTCTTGTCACTTTTGTTATGATACACGATAAATATCATAGGTTGGTCTATCATTTTGTATGCTTAGCAACGTTTTTGTCCTTGTTTTTGAAGTGTCTTTTTTTGTCTTCATTCGATCCGACAAAAAACTACTGCCGTTTTTTTCCTTTGTCTTTATCCTTTTTGTTGGTGAATGTGTGTGGCATAAAAAAAAAGAAATGTTAGAGTGACATGGAAACGCAATTGCGTTACCGTTGAATTTCAAAAACATTCGAGCCGAATATTCATCACTTATAAAACTACTTGTTATTCCGGATTCAAACGCCAGCTACACAGAATATTAAACAGAATCGACAAGGTGGCGATTAAAAAGAAATAAAAATGAAGAATGCGCCATACGGATGGACTCAGATAGAGACGAAAATCGATAAAACGGATGTTTTCAGTGAAATATGTGGTCAATGCTTAAGGATAAAATCAACAAAATGATTTAATGGGTGAACTACCACACACGAAACGAAAATCAGACAAATATTTTATATAAATTTGAAGAAAAAGAAATAAATCGAATATGCTCTTAAATCAAACTGATTTTTTCAAGAAACGAATCAGTTTTCGTTCGAAGCCAAATATTGGCACAAGGAAGAGATTTTTACTGTATTTTTCTTGAATGTTTTAAGTAAACAAATGTGTATCTATGCGGTTTTTGCGTTTTCAACGATGTCCAAGTGTTTTGAATTTTTCGAAAATATCTTGAAGCGTAAGCTAAAAAAACTACTCAAATGATTGAATTTATTTAAGTTCAATGTGTTTCTAAGGTAGATGAATATTCATAATTAAAAACAAAATACTTTTTTTTAAACAGAAACTAATTGCAATATTGTTTCTTTTTTCTTTGGCAATGAATTGTAATCGCAAGTTGACGTTATAACACGACAATATAATATTACAGCTCAATAACGCATTTTAACCAGTATTTATTTTAAAGTCTCCGTATCATTGTGAATTTTACAAATGAAACCGAAAATATTAATTTGTTTCTACGTGTCACTATTGCATTTTCGTGCAAGTTCGCACTCTATGAGTTCTGATTGTGATTTGTTTGACTCGACTGAGATGGATAAAAGACTTGAAGAAATAATGAGAACGGGCCGAACCATTAATAATATTTTCAAACCATCACAATTTCTCGGAAAAGGCGGCTTTAGTGTCACTTATCTAGGCAAAAAAATATAAATTAGTATACTAAAAAAACATTTTTTAAGATAATATTTCTATGAATTGAATTAATATGAAGTGAATTAATCGAAAGTAATAAAACTGTTGCCATGAAATTTGCACCAACGGTTGAAAATGACATTGAGAATGAATATGAGATTTATACATATTTGGGTGCAATTGACAATTCAACAGTAGAGAACTATGGAATACCGGCAGTCTATTATTATGGTAAATGGGAAGATTACAGTATGATTGCCATTACACCACTCGATGCAAAGTTTAGCCAAATTGAAAATAAAGCTAGTTTGATCTATACAAATCCCTATAAATCTCAGTTTGATTACCCGGAACCAAACTATCAATACTTCAGTAGTTGATGCGAATAAAATTCAGTCGATTTTGGAAAAAAACAAAGATTACTTTTGAATTTGAATTTTGATAAAAACACAATATACTTTGTCTATTTTGTTCAAAATGTTGGTGAAAATGGCATTTTAACAAGATTTTACGTCATAAATACAAGGTTTGACGGAAAAATAGAATTTTTGTTTAATTATGTTTTTTTTTTTTTGTTTAGATTAGTAAATGATGCCACAGCCAATTGAGAAGCGAAGTTATTTTCACCGATTCTCCATACATTGGAAGGATCACGTTCGTTTGTAGTGCCGACATTTCGAACACGAATAATTTTTTTATACGCGCAAATATTTTTCTATGAACGCGTTCGTTGACATCTTTAGCTTATGTCAGCTTCATTATTATATTCACTCCATAAATTCTTTAGAGATAAAAAAAATGTTATACCCTACGATGCTTTGTTTGCAAACCGCTTTAATATTTTCGAAAGTATACGTAATTTTTATTAATTATTCCGTCATACACATATGAGCTTTGATCAAATTACTGAATTTAGTAAATTATATTGACTTTTCCTGGTAATAAATATTTCACTACAATATGCCAGATGTTATTATTTGAATACTACTTATGTTTATATTTAATAGATTTCAAATTTACTATCAAATCATCCGACAACCTAAAAAAAGATTCAAATTATGAAAATTTCACACAGTTTTTTTAAATTTTATAGTTTGTGTCTACCCCCTAGGTGTACATTGAAAATAAAAGCATTGTGTGCATCGCACACAGTTTGTGAATGCGATGTCTACCTAGGGGGATATTGCGTGTATATAGTCGCAATTTATTGACAAATATTTGCGACACATTGGTTTATATTCGTATACGAATATGAAACCACTTTTTTCAAATATGCCACCAATATATTCCAATATATTATACAAAATACTCTTGTAAATACTAGAGTACAAGTACTTGCTAGAGTACAAATTGTAAAAATATATAATATTGAAACATTTTTTCGGTTTTTCATTAAAACATTTTCTTTTCAATAATATTTTTACAATGAGTCGTTTAAGTAACTAGAGTAATACTCTAATAGCTAGAGTATTTTGTTAAGTATATTGGAATATAGTGGTGGCATATTCATATATATTTGTTTATATTCTTTTTCCCCCTAGTGTCTCTCTGAAAAATTCAACTCTGCCGTATATATTTCATTTTGCGGAAACAATCTTAGAGTCGATTATAAAATAATAAAAATAATTATTTTCAAACAGAAAGAGAAAGCAACATAGCGTTTGTTTATTTTACAAATAATTGGAATCTTTTTTCTTTGACAATGAATTACATGAATGTTTTATTTTTTGCTGATGTTTTAATACGAGAGTATAAAATTAAAGCTGAATAATGCGTTTTAATCAGTATTTATATTTATTTTAAACTCTCCGTATCATTGTGAACTTCACAAATGAAAGCGATAATATTAATTTCTTTCTATGTGGCACTATTGCCTTTGATTGTAAGTAAAAAGGAATAGTAGTATGCACTCTATATCAATCAATAAAAACTAAAGAAAATATGGCTTTCAATTATCCAACCAATTCAATAGATTCACAGTGGTAGCAACACTGGAAGTATGAGTTATAGTAAAGGTGGCATTGCGAAAAAGATTGTCCTACCGTCTCACCAAAACAAGATCCGCCCGCCGAACACAAATGTTCAAAAATCTTTGGGACAACGGAAAAATCTGGGCAAACAGCTAGTTTTGGACAATATTCCCAATGTTCGTGCTAGTTTGCAATCTTCGAATTTTGATTCGTTCGACTCCGGTGTAAAATTCGAAAGGCTGGATGAAAGACTTGACAAAATATTGAGAACAGGCAGAACTATCAATGATATCTTTAAACCATCAAAATTTCTTGGCAAAGGCGGCGTCGGTGTCACTTATCTGGGTAAGAATTTGTTTAAGAAGACATATTTTTAAGCTAAATTTTTTATAAATTGAATTATGCAGGTGAATTAATTGGAAGTAATAAAACTGTTGCCATGAAATTTGCACCAACGGTTGAAAATGAAATTGAGAATGAATATGAGATTTATACGTATCTGGGTGCAATTGACAATTCAACAGTAGAGAACTATGGAATTCCAGCCGTTCAGTATTATGGTAAATGGGAAGATTGCAGTATGATTGCCATTACACCACTCGATGCAAAGTTCAACGAAATAGTAAAAAAATGTAGAAAGAGTGGTTCCACTTTGAGAGATATTGACATTTTAATAATATGCCGAGAATATGTAAGTAGAATTTTAAAACAGATCATTATATTGTATATTATATTTGGTTTCAATAATTCTATGAAGGTGAGAATATCAAAATATATACATAGCCGTGGCGTTTGTCACTGTGACAGCCACCTTCGCAATATTATGTTTCGTGGCAACAAAGGCTTCGTAATTGGTAATCAATTTCTATTTTTCAACTTAAAAATTGAATTTTTTGAAATATTAATAAAACTCTGTGCAATTCAGATTTCAATATGGCCACGAAAGTCTCCACTGATGATGATGACGATTGCAGAAAATATGACTGGCACAAATTTTTAGTCGAACTACATCTTTCCTTGAATATAGAATTCGTGAGTAAATCTTTAACTATTTGAATCATTTAATATAGTAATCAACATACATATCTCTGACTGACAGAAAATTAAGGACCTTAAAAGAAGCGGATTGAAAAGAGTACTTCTGGAATTTCAAAAATCTATCGATAATGGTAAAATTTAAAAAAAATGAACGAAAAATTAAAATTGATAAAAATTGAATTTTATTTAAAATTATTATGCATATATGTGGTACAGCTCCACCAATTGATTACGATCGTATGTATGAAATTATCACGGAAGAAATTCGTAATCAGGGAGCTCAGGAGCCAGCCCTGGTTTCATGGTTGACAGATGCACAGAAACCAAAGGCAATAGCTGAATGGAGAAAAAAACCGACAGATATTAAGTTCATCAAATCTATTTCCAATCCATATTCCTCTCAGTTTGATTACCCGGAACCAAACTATGATTACTTCAGTAGTAGTTGATATGCAAAGAAAATTCAGTTGATTTTAAAATAAAAAAGATTACTTTGAAATATATATATTTTTTTTTACTTTTTGTGCTCTAAACCGAGTCTCCGAGAGTTTCATATAAGGTTGCCACTTTTGCAAATTCAAAATAATAATGTACTTTAACTACAGCCAATTGTCAAGCGAAGTTATTTTCACCGATTCTCCATATATTTTAACTTCCAATTTGGAAGGATCACGTTCGTTTGTAGTGCCAACATTTTTTAATTTTTTTTTATACGAACAAATATTTTTCTACGAACACGTTCGTTGACATCAGTTGACATCTTTAGCGTATATTAGCTTCATTATTACATTCACTCCATAAATTCTTTAGAGATAAAAAAATGTTATACCCCACGATGCTTTGTTTGCAAACTGCTTTAATATTTTCGAAAGTTCTACTACAATATTCTAGATGTTGTTCATTTGAATACTACTTATGCTTATATTTAATAGATCTCAAATTTACTATCAAATCATCCGACAGCCTAAAAAAGGATTCAAATTATGAACATTTATATTAATAATGATTAGTAAATGTATATGATGGTATATGAGAAGATAGTTGGATATAATCATCATTACCTGTCGCTTACATCAAGCTGGAATCCTAGATCAGCGGCAATTTTGTCAATAGTAGGAGATGTAATGACGCTGGCTGCCACTTCTAATCTATATTCGGCACAAATATCTTTAGTTATCACGAGAAGCTGCTTTGCAATGCCACGACGGCGATATTCCCGTTGAACCACCACTCCTTTATTCGCCAAATATTCATCGACTCGATAAATTTCGAAAATATCAACATCCATTAGATCCATAGATATTTGCTTGAAATTTAACGAACAAGTGTTTTTTAAAAGAAGCGAGTGATGTGAATTCAATTGAGGAATTGAAATTGTGTCAATTTTAAACATTTTTCTTACCGTTATCTTGCCTCTCTTGCTTTTCGAACCTATCCTTTTGCCAATATACATTAAGACAACACCGGCCATCTTATCATCATCATCAAAGCATCCCACTGACATATTTTTGTGTAGAAGTAATTTCCAATACTCTCTACTTCTTTGAATGTGATGATTGGTTATAGTTATATCTACACAACGATTTTTTTTTAATTTTATATTTTTTCGTTAAGAAAGAAAGAATTAGCGCATACCAAGAATTTTATTAAGTGCTTCGTCTTCAAGAAACTGTTGCATCAAATGCATTGCCTCTTCAAATCGCGTGTTAGGTATGTTTCGAATTTGATATTCGACCACTTCACTTCCATTTGCGTTTGTTGCATTAAATCTGCTCCAAATTTTATACGGATCGTATTTTTGAGAATCAACTTCAGATTTAGTTTTAATCGATACATTACAATGAACATAAATTTCAATGAATATAACAGTGATAAGTAATCTATTCAACATTTTTTGTTTCAAAAATTCGAACTTCAAAATGTTAGTTAGAAATGTGGAAATTGATTCCAATTGAGTTGTAGATACTTACTGGAATATCTTCAACCGAGATATACTTTATATAGAGAAAATTCAAAACGTGTTTCAGATTATTTGAATATTGTAAGCTGCCAAAAATGTGATAAATACACGGCAGGTTGGATACAGAATTTGATCTCAATATTTTATATGAAAAATTGAAACCTAACTCATGACAACACCACATGATCGATGGGCGGAACAGTATAGTATCAGGAGATATCATGCCATAATGTGCTGATAAAGATTTTTTTTAATTGCGTAGAAAATTACATTAATTTATCTATACACGTGCCGTTTCACCCCCCAGATGATATAGCATCAAATCATCCATGCTACCAATCGTTGTTTTCAAAGTTCTTATTTGGCATTTGAAGTACTTGTGCGAATTTTTAAAACAGAAACAATATGAGTTGATTTAATATTTCTTTTAATAATATCAAATTGAATTCTAAGCAAAATTGATTGAATCATAAATGGATTATATTTCTTTTGTTCTTTTTCAAACTATCTAATGTTTATATTATATAAAATATTATTATTATTATTTATCATCAAATAAATGACAATGGTGAAATATCTTGCACATTGAAATCTAGGACTTTTTTCCCGAATCAGCAAAGAGATCATTGTATGGTACTTTGTTGAATATATTTTTTAAAGTAGATTCTGCAATCAAAGTAAATGCGTCAAAAATATTCTCGCTAATTTCTTTGAAAATATCATTCCAGTTTTCATTCAAAAATCGATTAGTAGCGTCACCAAGAAGTTGATCGCCATTATACAAATGTCGGAAATCAAAGATTAACCTGAGAATATAGAGAGATAAAAATGATTTAAATTTGTAAAGAATAAAACAAAGGATCACCCACCTAGACACTTTAAATATCAAATTTGCGTTTTCGATATCCAAATGTTCATGATTGCCACGCTTAGCAGCCTTGCCGTCGAATGTGAAAATCAGTTCGGGATCAACTATATTATGAAACGTGAAGTACATTTTTGGCTCGTCAACTTGAATATCCGAATTTTAAGTTCAATAATTACCCAAAGTTATGTTCGAGCGACCTTCTCCGTTCACTGGCAAAATCAAAACTCGACCCGCAATTTTGTAAGGGCCAACTAGATAAAGTGCTGGTCCCTTTACAACAAGTTCATATTTTCCAGTTGGATTTCTTTGAAATCCGCTAATGAAATAGAATAAATGATCTTTGAACATAGGTTCTCATCAGGTTGTATTTATTCCCCCAGCAAATTTTTAAAAAAATCTTTCGATTTGCTAGGTGTTTTTGAGTCAAATACTCCAACGCACCTCCCCCTTCCGTATTCGATTTTGATTTGTGGAATGAAAAAATCTCTTTTCGCTAGGGTTTTGCCGAGAGACTTTTTTAATTTGCTAGGGTTTTAATTTTCATGCGTGAGGACCTATGGTATATATATCGTAAAAAATGACCTGATTTTTGTGAATCGACAATTCGATAAACCAATTAAATCGACATCTTTGAAGTCGAGAGCGATGTTCACTGGACTCTTTTCACCCTGTTTAATTCCAATTGAAGGTATATGTAATGGATCAATTTGGATCAGCCCAAGTCCTTTGTGGCCCTCTTTTGAATAATTGGTTAATTAATTTAAATGAACAATAAAAGAATGAAGAAAAAAATTATACTTTTTCCGTTCAGTTCAATAAATTCGTTCGAAACGTCAACTATACATTTTGTATCGCCTGCAGAACATCTTGGAATATCAGTAGCTGAAAAAAATAATAAACACACGAATAAACGATTTATTTTTATTTCTCCGAAACAAATTAACAACTTTAACCTTTGAAATCAATAATTTTTCAAATTTTAGTCCTTTAATGAGTTTCTTTTATTCTTTTTCTTTGCAAATATGTTTATTATTAAATGAGTCAAAATTAGAATTCGTCAGCGTCATCACATTAAATTATTAAATTTAAATGAGCGACCGGTTTTGTTTCTGAGTACTTTGTTTCAGAGTTTCGAAGAACACTTCACTCTTTAATAGAATACTAATTAAATCAATTCTCCAAGATAATTAACTGACTCAGACTGAAACTTGAAATGCAGAAGCCTAATACGCCAACAGAATGAATCTATCACTTAACTAAAAACGCATCCAGCCGAAAAAATGATTATTCATACAAAAATAGGTCCAGACGAACTTTGCATCGACACACATCCCGTCAAATATAATAATTAATAAAAAATGTGTTAATATGACAAAATTTGTTTTGTATCAATGAAGTCGCCAAAGAAATACACAAAACAACACCAACTTTAGAAAAAATAGCAATACTTTCGAAAAATTCTTACGTATGCATCAATTTCGATTCTTGTGAATTTTTCACACTTTGCTCTTGAGTACCAATCACAAAACGGTCAAAATTACTAAATTAGCTTACAAGAATAGCCACGCAATTAGAATAAAATTCAATATTTTACCTACTTCAATGTTCTTTTAAATGATCTAAACAACTGATCAAAGCATCAGTTCACAGAATTTATATATTCAAACATTTTTAGTAATATTTCAATAATTTCGATTGATGAAATGAGACTTACGAAATTTAAAACTAAATATACCGACGATTAAACATACGAATATTGAAAAAATAATTTTTTTATTCATTCTGATGATAAATAATTTTACTAAACACTTGATAACAACACGAAAAAAATAATTGTTTTTTTTTATTACATATGAACTAAAGGTTGGAAATTCTTATTACATACACAGATATTGAACCATTCGATAAGTTCGACAAAATCATACTATTCTTGTAATCATGATTTTTTTAACTTAAATATAATTTTCAAGGATTCGAGCAAATTAGCAGACATACGTGTAGAAGAATTCAACAAACTCATTCATATACAAAAACAACAAACATCATCATATATATGATGACCACTGAGAGAGATTGATCGGACGTTAAACTTCTGTGTAAAAAAAAAACTTCACATATACATAAGCTGTAACCACTTCCACAATGCTTTCGAGGTGTAAGCGTGATAATGATATATTATGTACAAATAAACTTGAACTTACGAATTCAGTCAATGGAAACGGTCAAAGCAACTTGAACCAAACAAAGCACGAGACTATGTAAGCATTAATGCAAAAAAGTATGAATCACGTTTTAATGACAAGTTGTTCAGTCACTTTCGGCATCGTTATGTTCAACTATTACTGCGCATACAATTGAAAAAATGAGATTCAGAAGAGAGACGCATAAGAAAACAAATGAAATACAAAAAAAACGTAATTTGGTCAGTTTGTTCTCAAAGCAAGAAGCTCTTCTCTTGTATTTATTCACAGTAAAAACTCTCTTGTTATAAAAAGAGTTTTTAATTTAATTGCGCGAGAATGACTTCTCACAAGATTTAATAAAAAAAAATTGGAAAAAAGTTTTTTTTTTACTGTAATACAAAAAAAAATCTTAGTAGAAGGCTCATTGGTGTCGAACACCTAGGTTTAGGCATGATGAAAAAACCGGTTGTATTCCGTTGCTCTTGCAACTGCTGAACGCTAATAAATAAACAAAAAGTTCACTGCAATCAACAACTCAAATTTTATGTAATTCGGACTATTCGAACTACTACATTGTAAAATAGCTCCCATATATTGTGACGCATGAAGTATACAGACCGGAATCATTGTAAGAGTATTCGGCGCAAAGTAATCACTACACTATTGCTTATATTTTAATTTTATTTTATTTTTTATTTGTCAGATTTTAATTGGTCGTTAGTAATGATATAGTGAGTTTTTTTTCACAAGATGTCACGTGTGCTAGTTGTGTTTGTCATTGAAATTGATGAAAGACAAGTGTTGAAGTTCCAACGAAAAAAAAGGTAATTATCATAAATTCAATTCATTTTAGACTAATAACAATGCACATTATATCTATTGAATATAACGATTGGAGAGTATATGCTTTTGTTCATTCTCTCCTATCGCTATTTTCAATAGATAAATATTTTTTTCATTTGAAAAGCAAATAGTTCTACATCAAGCTGAGAAAACTAGTACAGAAAATATCACACACGAGCTGTTGACAGTTTTTCTAGTTTAAACGTCTATTTAATGGACAAAAAAGATCTTACCTCGATTTTCAAGTATATTTTACTTACAATGAATGTAAAAGATAAAAAGGTTGTTTAATTTTATAGCTCTTTATTATGATAAACACAATGAGCAGAAAAAAAAAAACAGAAAAATGTTCTCCCGAAATGTGATATTAGTATGATTTAGAAATACTTATATTATTATCGAAGTCATAAGCTAAAATGAAGTTTTCTTGTTGAAACAACTGATCGTGATTCAGGGACTTTTTCCTGAATTATCAAAGAGATCATCGTACGGAACTCTTGTGAAAATATTCGACAATATATTGTCAACGATTTGTCCAAAGGCCAAAAAAACTGATTTCTTAATCTCGGGCCAAACTTCCTGCCAATTTTCATTCAGAAACAAATTGGTGTTGTCCTATTTTTGGATTATAAAAATCACCGATAAAACTAAATAAAAAACGGAATCATTCATTTAAGTTTTCAACTCACGCCGAGCGCCTTATCGCCATTATATAAATTGCCTAGTAAACAAATGTATACCATTAAAAAAAGTAAAAAGTTGAAAGTTTGTTTAATGAAAATTACTCAAATATAAACTCATTTTGGTGAGCGTGAAAGAAAGTTTGGTATTTTCGGGTTTTAAATAGGTCTTTCCATTTTTGGTTACTGTCTTCCCATTGAAACGAACTAAGAAATCGGGATCCACTAGAACAAAAAGTGCATAAAGTTGACGTAAAATATTTCTTTTGAAATGATAAAAAAAACCTGGAACTGAGTTTTCTCACCGACTGTTATGTTTGACTGTCCGATTCCGCTGATTTTATAAATTAAAGTGGTTAAAAAATGATTTTATATTTCATGGTAAATTTAATTTCCTCACCTTATTGGCAAAATTAAAATTCTTCCTTGGATCGAATAAGGTCCGACCTGTTTTTGTGAACGTAGAGAACAAGAAATTTCAAAAATAAATATTTATTCTTGAAAACCATAAAGTTACACTTTGATTATTCCGGATTATTCGGACACACAGTTCCGCATTTTGTTTTAATTTTTTTGTTTTTCAATATGTGAGCAAATTTTTGTATATTACCAGCTCAAGGCGAGGCCCTTTCAGTCGAATCTCATATTTTCCTTCTGGTTTATCGTTAAATCCTCTGTGTAAAATGGTTTATATTATTAAGATTTAATTTAAAGTGATGCACTTATATTTACTCGATTTTGTAAAAAGTGAAATCTTTCAAACCGGTAATTGTGTTATTGCTGTGAAAAAGAACAACAATTGAAAATTCTAGCGAAAATATGAATACGAATATTTGACTATCAACCTGAATTTTAAAACCACATTCACAGGTGACTCTTCACCCTGTTCAATATTTATTTTGGGGATATCCAAAGGGTCCAGTGGGAGTAAAGCGATACCTCTTTCACCGCCTTAAAAACAAACAATGAAATATGTTCGTATTTTCACTTGAAACACACTATAGTACACACCTTTTGCGTAGATGTTCATCACAATGTTAGCCGATTTTATCATACATTCCGAATCACCTTTCTTGCACTTTGGGATATCAGTAGCTTTCAAATTAAAAAATGTATTAGGTTCTTTGGTGCGTATAAATACTTGCACAACTCACGAAATTTTACTGCAAAAGCGCCACTGCACAGCATGAAAAAAACAGCTTGTATAACCTTCATGGCTACTGCACAATGTCAAATTATGAATTTAAATATCTTGTAAATAAACAGAAACGCTAATGAAAAATCAACATTTACTTTTAAATGCGTACCAACTTTTTTTATATCGATTTTAACGAAATTTCTCTTCCAAATAAACTAAAAATGATCGAAATAAACTGAAAAGTTTCTTAAAATAAACCAATTTTAATTAGATTTTATCTTTTCTACAGCCGTGTTGGCGTTTACAAATCATACGACTTACTGATTGCGTTTCTAAACTTAAACTCGTTTATAAATGTTAATTGTAGAAAATTGCAGTTTGATCTGCATACTTGTAAAACAAGTAAATTTTTATATCTCTTTCAAATACATTTAATTCGAGCATATCATTAATATTTCGCGTGCGAGAAAGAATGAAACAAAATTACGAAAATTAAACGCAAAATATATTCTAAAACAAATATTCTGATGTTAGCTATTTGGAATTTTCTTTTTAACAAAGCATAATTGTGTGTAATTAGTGTAAATTTATTTATAAATTCATCATTGCAGAATATTTGATTGAATCTGAATTATTATCTCATTGCATTACTTACATTGTACATACGTTCGTTTAATCACTTGATGTAAGAATGCAATTCGCTATTTTTTTTATCATTTTTCGCTGATACCTAATATCTCAATCAACTCAATTCGATTTAAATTTGTTTGTATTCTTCAAAAGATATATTATATTCGAATATACGAGGCTATTGTGTAGACATTTGAATTATTAGAGAAAATACGTAAAAGATTGACTCCTTAATGACATTGAATATGTCTTGCCAATTTTCATTTAAAAATTGATTGATAACTGGAATGGATGAAAAATGTATTCAATTATATTGTTAGAGCGATAATAAATTATTCGATGACACACCTTCGGCTGGATCACCTCCGAATAAATTTCCGAAACAAGCCTGCATTCTAACAAATATAAAATGCATAAGTACATTTCACACAGTGATTTGATTTTCGTTACCTTGACATTTGGAAGGTCATCTTAAGGTCATCTATGTGTAGATGTGCTGTTCCATTTATTCTTTCCGGGTTGAAAAATGTAAAAATTGAAACAACCGACCTTGAACGGACACCACAAGTATCTTACCATATTGTACGGTCATCTCAAAAACTTACTCATCGCAAAAGCAAACACGGATCGTATGAACTTTTAATAATGTCCACATCTGTTTGTGCTTCACTTCAGTTTTCTCCGTACAATAAATAAATAAAAAAGGCAAGTACAGTGTATTCAATATTTTTTATTTCAAAAATTTGGCTCAAAATATCGAAATCACACGGTTTATAGATTGAGATGTAGGTGAATTTTTATTTATTTTATTTTATTTATTACCAATCTTAAATTTATACCATTGTGTGAGTCTAGTGAACTAGACACATGCTGGCTATGTGCCCAAGGTATAAATTCCGCCCATGGTGCGACTTTCAAAAAGAGATACAATATAGAGGAAGGAGGGTATTTACGAGTTACTATAAATACCGATATTGGATCCGGAAAACCATGGCAAAACCGGTCTAATTCAGGAGAATTAGAGGAAATACTTAATATTATCTTAAATATATTTTGGAAATAAAATAAATTAAAAATGATAAAAAAGTAACAAAATAAGAATAAATAAATAAATAAATAATAAAATAAAATAAAATAAAATAAATAATTGAATAAATAGGCAAATAATAAAAAATAATAATGGTATGAATCACTATGGTATCAATAGATGTGATGCCATAATTTTTCTCAATTACAAACTATCTTGACGGATCGATGCTATTTGTGTTCAAATTTTATTGATCTCAATGTTATTGTCAAATCATCGTCATAGCTAAAAATAAATTCAACAAATAAGTAAATTATATAGCAGAAGGTGGTTAATATCTGTACTTAATGCTTGTATTAAGTTGAAATCCAAGATCAGTGGCAATTTTATTTACAGTATCAGATGTAACAACAGTTGCTGCTGCTTCTAATCCATATTCCGCACAAATGTCTTTTCCTAATAAAATGATTTGGATATTAAATGAAAATAAAATTATTATTTTTTTTTTCCAAGTTACCTATCATGAGAAACTGCCTTGCAATTCCACGGCGTCGATATTTTCGCGAAACAATTAAACCATCGTTGCCCAAATATTCCTCAACTCCATACAGTGTGAAAATATCAACATTCAATAGATCCAAAGTTATATCCTTGAAATAATTTAAAACAGACTTATTCAAAAGGCCAAACTGTCATTGATAACAAATAAAATGTGTGTCTACCACTGGTCTGCCTCTTTTGTTTTTCGAACCCTTTTTTCTGCCTATATGTAATAAGGCTAGGCCAACCATTTTATCCTCATCATCAAAACAGGCCACCGACATTTTATTATTCAGAACTGATCTCCAATGGTTTTCATTTTTCACTTGGAAATAACTTTCACCTATACAAATTAATGTATTTTATATTTATATTTAACAAAAAAAAAAACACATTTATAAGAGTCAATAGATACCTTCATCATCATTGATTGGTTCATCTTCCATAAATTGATCCATCAAAGACAATGCCTCTTCAAATCGTGTGCTAGGTATATTTCGAATTTGATATTCGACCATTTTATTGCCTTTCCTGTTTGTTGCGTTAAATTTGCTCCAAATTTTTTCAGTATCATATGAACTTGAGGCAACACCTTTGCCTTTATCAGCTTTAGGTTTTGCACTGGTTGTATTTAATACCGAAAGTGCGATGAATATAAAAATAATAAAATTGCTCTTGAACATTTTTACAACTAGATAGTTTTACAACTAGGTTTATCTATGAAAAAAAAAATTATTTGTAAAATGAATCCACACAAGTTCAAGAAACAACTGATAATCAGCAACGGAAAGCTGTTTCATTTATACAAAACTCAATGTGTGGAATTTTATTGCAAATTCATAATATTTTAATTTATCAACTCTTTGCCGTTTCATATACACGTGTTATTATACACATGACGTATAACGAAAGTGTTTCATTATAAAATAGGCATTAGGCAGAAGAAAAATAAAGTATTTGTTTTCATTCAAATTTCATATTATAATGCTATTTTTGCTTATATTCGATTGATCTCAATCTGTTACACCAGGAACGGAGCTGAAAATCAATGGAAGATGATAGTTTAATTCTAATCACTACCTTTCGCTTTTGATAAGGTCAAATCCGAGAATAGTGACAATTTTATTTATTGCATCGGATGTAATCAATCTTGCGGCCACTTCCAATTCATATTCCGCACAAATATCTTCAGATACCTTGAAAAGCTTCTTTGCAATGCCAAGACCACGATAATCCCGTAAAACAAGCACACCTAAAGAGAATCGCTTTTTTGAAGAATGAAAATGATGTTTTTTGACAGTATATTCCGCCACGTGGCGAATCATGTACTACCATTATGATCAGCATCTTAACTAGATCAAAAAAATGCATACCATCGCTAGCCAAATACTCTTCAACTCCATAATATGTAAATAAATAAAAACCCAATAGTCTCTGAGATATATCCTATTAAAATAGGATTTGTATATATTTTGTATTTTTAAATTCAGCTTTGTGAAGGGTCGGAATAGACAAATATTACCGTTGGTTTGCCTCTTTTACTCTTTGAACCCATCTTTCTGCCAATATATAATATGGCAACGCCAACTTCTTACTTTCTATTTGATTTTATACTGATTGCAGTAACAGGTATGACTATATTTAATTTTTTTTGTATGAGATATATCAAATGTATATGCTTGAATGAATTGTTTACCCATAGCTTTGTTTAGTGGTTCATCTTCAAGAAATTGATCCATTAAAGACAATGCCTCTTCAAATCGTGTGTTGGGTATATTTCGAATTTGATATTCGACCATTTCATTTGCTTTCTCATTTTGTCTTGTTAAATATGCACCAAATTTTATCCGGATCGTATGAAACTGCTTCGGTTATAGACAAAAAATAGTCCAATGAATACAAAAATGAAAAATATTATTTTCAACATCTTCTATTAATAGGAACAATTGTTGGCACAAATTCATCCATTATCGGGCATATGTTGACGGTCAATATTGGAGTTGGATTTGTGTGTAGTTTCAGTCAATTTTACCGTAAAAATGGAAAGGAAAAAAAAGAAAAAAACAATTCAGTTAGATTGAATGCAAAAATAAACTATCAATTCAATAAAGTACTCACCTACGGGTTCTTTTATATTCCGCACAGCCCTAAATAGGGACCCGTACTGCGGTCAAGGGTACAATAGCAATCCTTGGATTTAAACTATTCACGCCTAGTAACTAACAAAATTGTTAAAATATTCTTCTTATGCTGCTATCAGTTGACATTGTTCGCATGGTGTGGATTGTCAGGTATCTTCAACGAATCGGGCAATGGTATGCCGAAAAGACGACACATTCCTATAAAATCAGAAACAAACTCAAAACATTAATCAATTAATATGAACACTGAACACCTAACGCTCTGCTCTCTATTCTCAATTTATAATAATATTAATACAATATACAATTATGCACATACCTTTGAATAAAATATTCTTTGCGGTAACAATGTCACGGTGCCAAATGACTACGTGCTCAATCATGTCTTCTGGTGCAGCATCACCCAATTCATGGTATTCTCGAGTTAATGACCAAGTTTTGAAGATAACTTTTATCTTTGGCACTAAACGCTCGATGTTCTCACGATCTGGATTGATTGCTCTCTCTACAATTCGCTCTTTCTTAAGCTCTTGTCTGCTCAAATTTGTCACAATTATCGGTGGTAGTCCAACAATCGGTTTTGGTATGCAATTTCGACAAATTTTGAATCGATGATTTTTGGTTTCTCTTGGAAATCGCTCGTGACAATTGGCACACGTTATTGATGTACCCCATTCATCTTGAAAACTGACCTTTGTGTGTTCTTGTTTCTTGAAACTGATTGCCAATTTACGCGTTCCCGGGCATCTTTTCCGCTTCTTTATGCCCCATGGCTGATTTGGTGCCATTTCTCCAGCACCAATCCAAATCCAAGACGGTTTGTTCTTCGTTATCCGCATGGCAACTTTATCACTTGTTTTGGTAGCCTTGATGTGATGATCGAGATCCATTCGTGCATATTTTCGAGTCGCATATGCTTGCATTCCCATTCGTAGCATTTTGATGCGATGCTGAATGTACGATTTCCACGTTGATCCACGCGGTGATGGTATCACTGGGTACGACTTGAAATCCATTTGTTCTTCTTCAACAAACCACCAGGTCAACCGATCAGCCTTCCGATCTCTCTTCTTCTGCTCGGTTTGCCAATGAAATCGTGGATTGGATATTTTAATGTTTTCCTGTTAAATAATAACGTCAAATTTCAATCACGTTTCAAAAAAAAACATTGTAATAACAAACTTAACTTACCTCAATGTTTGACTTGATATGGCGGCGCACAACGGCCACCCACGTTTTCTCGTTCGGATCGATGGCACTAGCATATGTCATGTTGTTAAATGTGGCCTGCTCCGAATTTTCCACCCAAGCCCCACCCAAGCCTTCGCTGGCTTCTCGTACAATATTGACACGCAAACACTATTGGTGACGATTTGGAAGTTAAATTGCTTCTGCTTGCCGATCTGTTTGATTTTGTCCATGTTGAAAACCAAATTCCACAATTCATCTCTATGGCCGTACATGTAATAGTCCAGTGTGTATTTGTTCATTCGATTGGTCAGCGGATTTCGAGAACTGCGCACCACTCCTAGTACAGTGTTCGCCAAATAATACATATCTTTCACATCCAATCGAACGTTTTTTAGTTGGAATCGGCATAACGGGACAAGTGCGAAATTGTTCACTTTTGGCGGTCGATTGTTCGTTATCAATCCATCGCGACGGAATGCATGCCATTGTTGTGCATATTGATGAAACACTTCGATTTGGCGTTGCATTTGACCGAACATTCACAGTGATTGGAACCAATTGTCCTTAACGAACTCATTGACAGTGACCGGAACCAATTGTTCATTATGAACTTTTTGACACTGCCAACCGATTCTTTCCAGTTCATACAATAAAATGTTCATCTTATTTGTTCTCTCTTCATCACCATGTGTCAGATCTTTGTTACTAGTGGCGTACACTTTTGCGTTTCGTATATCGATGACGTCGAATTTTGATCCATAGTATTGATGGCCATTGATATTCATGTTATAATACCACCGTTTCATTTGAAAAAACGATTCAACATGTTCTGGACAATGAGTGTTGAGATTGGTCTGAGTATTTCGAATGTGATCTTGGTAGAAATAATTAAAACCATTTCCCAGGCATTCTTTATCGGGCCATTTAAAATTCTCTACACCGAAGTGTGCCTCGACAATGTTACGAAAAGCTGGCGACATTAGTTCCTCTCTGTCGACTTTATCGGCTAAAACACCGTTAAAGCACTCGATGAAAAATGTTTTACCGTTTTGTACAAAAAATTGTTGGTTCCCATCATCGATGGCTTCTTGAATTTTGTACAACGCCAATAATGATGCCAGTGACGAAATCAGTGTCATTTTGTAGCTTCGATGATCCAAAAACTGAATCACTCTGTCGCGATATTCTTCCCGTATGATTGACTTGACGCCTTGTTTTATGACTACTAGGTTCTTAATGTCGTCTTTCCTTTCGGGTGGACTGTATAAATGAAACGAAAACAAAGAAAAACATATACACTTATTTAAAAAAAAAACTGGTCACAAAACAATATCGCGAAATTGCATCGAAAATACAATAGAAAAAAAAAACAGAATAAATATTAAGGAAAACACCGCTCACCTGTTTAATTGATCGTCTTTTGATCTTGTTCGACTCATGGCTCAATCGATCATTCACAATTACTGAAAATTTTCCGAATATTACGAGATAATTATCACAAAATTGAATGCAGATATTGTCGTTTTGTGATTGTATTCGATTTAAATTCGCTGAACTATGTTGACTTCATGGTGATGTTCTTCCTCATCAAAATTCGAATAGTTTCTGAAGAACTACTCAATATTTGCTTTGCTTTTATACAATTTTTATTGATGAATTTGATTGTGAGAATAAAATTTGCTGCTTCGTACTTTCCGAATGTTCTGTCAATATTAAATAATGAAAACAAAATCAAACGGAAAATAGACGGCAAAATTCATATCGAAGACAAAAATCGAAACGGGATTTATCTAATATAACAATAACTCTGATGTTATACGATCAAACGAATCCATTGGAAAACACTGCACAAAAACAAATTAACAATAGTTTAATTGAATCGTTGCGGCGAAAGAGTAGCTCTTATTTTTCTCCAAATAATACTGCAACATAAAGTTTTTTATGAATAGTTTATTTGTTGTATTACAACAAATAAACCGTGTGAAAAAAACTTCATGTTGCAGTATTATTTGGAGAAAAATAGGAGCTACTGTTTCGCCGCAACGATTCAATTCAATATCGATGTTCTCTTTCTGAATGCTTCGCAAAATTCGTCGCATATTCTCCGTTGAACGCAAATTCATAAACACATGACGATGCAAAAAAAAACACCAGCACACTAAATCGAAACAAACAAAACACTACAAAGAAATCGGTTTTCCAAATGGAACTAAAATCAAAGCACATTTTAAAATCGATGCGATCCAAATTACACAATGACCGAAGTTGAACGTCATCTTTCTTCCGCATTAAATCTTCTCGCATCAAAACCGCCGAACGAATTTCCAGTTGATTTGGAATATTTACTGTTGAGTTTTGTGAATGCTTTGTTGTTTGCAATATAAAACAAAGTCAAACGCAAAATTTGGTGTGAATAATCCAGTATTCTTTGCAAACACACACAACAATTCGAATTATATGAAAGAAATTTACTGTCCAAATGAATAAAACTAAACACGATCACGACTTGTCTCTTGAGTATGCAAAATTACTGTGAAACGTCAAATTGTGAACGAAATGTGACAATATTCAGTATCGATTTGAATTTGGTATGCACACAATCAAGAACATTCAGGCATACACAGTATGACTTATTAAAGAAGTATTGAAAGAGAGTGATAGAGCTATATACATTGTGGCTAACTGTTCAACAAAAGCGGAGTTTTACAAAGATGTATGCAGTCCAGCCGAAATGTAAAACTTCACAGGGTGTTTACTCAGTGAAAAATACAAATACACCATACATTCGATAAAGCGAAAATCGCCATGTATTAAAAATAAACAATAATTTGGTTTCGAATTACACAATGCTGACGTTTCTTCTCTTCTAATACACTTCTGTATTATTCTGATCCGTGTTCATTTGTTGCTTTGAAAAAATATCATTGACTGGATGTAAATAAAATACATTGACACGAAAATGACCACCAAAAGCATTACATTTTTCAACGTTAAAAAAGGTGAAAAACGTTACAAATTGGTTGCTTGGGATTCTTTTTTCTTGCAGATAATAATTTAGAAAATAAATTCAATTCGCTTGATAAAAACTGACTGATGAATATTCATTTTTTACAATACAGGTGGTATTTTATTATTAGAATAGTTTAGTTATTGACGCATTTTCAACATTATAGTTTTGATGATCAATGACGTCAACTCTCATTCTTTTTATTGAAAAACAACAATATGTCAATTAGCAGAGAATAAAGTATACCATACGAAAAATTACACAGAAATAAAATTTATTTATTATCATTCTTTTGTTATTAGCAATAAACGATTCAAAGCGGAAAAGTGATGAAAATGGTCGTATGACTAAGCCGCGTCATCATTGGGAAGTATTATAATGTTACTTGTCTAGTTACTTGTGCTGAAATTTTTTTGATCTTAAAGTCAACATCACATCATCATGTGCATAGCTAAAAACATATAAAAACAATTAAAAAAAAAGAATATTTTAAAAAAGCCTATCCCAACCTCTCCACGTAGTGAGTGTCATAGCCAAGCTCATTTCCAATTTTATTAACAGTTTCATTTGAAACAATGCCTGCCACAACTTGCAATCCATATTCTTCGCAAATATCTTCAAGTTCCAAGACCAATTCCTTTGCAATACCACGACCACGATATTTCCGTAGGACATTCATACCATTAACGGACAGATACTCATCAACTCCATAATGATCGAAAACATTGAATCCTAAATACTTTGCCTTGCAATGAAGAAGAACAGAAAGTCACATTTGTTTATTTTAAAACATCGTAAAATAATTGCTGATAGATAACAACAAATAAGATATATAATTACTTCTGGTTCTCCTCTTTTGCTCTTTGAACCTGG